AAAAAAAAAAATATTTTCTTGGGAACCCCGCCCGGGAGGGGGGTCTTGAAGGTTTGGGGGGCGAACTTCGCCCCCCCCCCCCCCCCCCCCACAGACATGTGACCGGCAGGCCTAAAACCCCGCCACAGACCGTGACCGATAGCATCACTGCGTGGGATGCCAATGGCGTCGGGTTTCGCATTTTAATCACGTACGGATTGCGCTGAAAGCTTTCTTATCAGTATGTTTATTAGATATCAAATATTCAATTTTTCTTCTTTTAGGTGAAATCGAGAATGTGATTATGAAAATATCTTTCAATACTGCTTCGTATTTATTGAATAATCCAGAAATTCATAACTGTGTTGTTATGAAAGTCATACATGATTTACATGAACAAGAATATCTTGTTGCTTATGTACATGTTACGATCGATGATTTCGAAAAACACAAAAATGAAATTGAAAAACAAATAAAAGTTCATTGCCAACAGAACTTACCATCTTATATGATACCATCATTTTTCATTGTTATGAAGGAATTTCCATTGAACCAAAATGGTAAAGTAGATCGAAAACAACTCCCAAAGATTGATAGAGCATTACTCATTGATGGCAAACTTGAATCAGACAACAAGAATATTAATACCAAAGTAAGCTCGCCTCTTGAACAAGTATTATGGAAGATATTTGTTGAATCTTTTGGCATCCCTGTTGATACTAACAAAATCAATACAGATATATCATTTTCCGCATTAGGTGCATCTTCATTACATGCTATGAAAGCATTAACATTAATTCGCCAACGCATTTATCCACAAATGGATTTTCGATTATTGTTTGCCAATCCAACTGTACGGCAATTATCCAATATTTTGGAGCCACTGATATCATCGAATATAATGGATGAAAAAGCCAAAGTAGAAAGTCAAAATGGCAATCTTGTTGTTAAAAATGAACTACAGCAGCAACGATTGAAACCATCACTCAGCATTGAAACATGTAGTGTGGTATTATTGGCTTTGATCTATATATCACCAGTTTTAGGTATAACTCAATTGCATCCTTTTTCGTCGTTAATTTTCAATATAATGTTTTACCTGATAACAATACCTTCTTTGCATCTTATGCAATATATACTTATTAGTAGATTATTATTTCCTTTTGGTTGCCAACAAGAGCAAAATGAATACCAATTATTTTCATGGACATACTATCGTCGATGGTTCTTACAACGGCTATGGTTTTTAAATACAAGCTATTTAAGTATATTATTGGGCACTTCATTTTATAATCTGTATCTAAGATTATGTGGCGCAAATATCGGACAAAATACACATGTGTTAACAACATTAATTGATGTTCCCGAGTTGATAGATATCGGTGATTCGGTATTCATTGGAAAAGATGTCTTTCTTTGTAATATTCTTTATCATCAGAAAACATTTCAATTGACAAGGATAATAATAAATAATAATTGTACAATTGATGCAGAAAGTGTTTTGTATGGCAATGTTGAAGTTAAAGATAAAGTTTTGATGAAATCAATGTCATCTGTTACTGGATTGGTTTTATCAAACAGTATTATTGATGGACAAAACACATCATATGGATCATCATCGTGTATGTCAAATCTTTCCAATAGTCACCAATTAACAAAATTTAAAACTAGGCATACACTTTATCAATTTTTGTGCATCGTCATGGTGCTCTTGACACATACTTTGTCAATCTATTGTGGATATTTGTCGTCATTTACATTTAAAGACAATATTGGTGTTCTATTTGGTTCAATTATTTATTTACTTCTTTCGATGAGTATGGCTCTTGTTTTCTTTTTTATTTTAATTGGAAATATACAATCTTGTACAATTTATAAAATGGATACATTTGGTTATTTACACAAAATATGGTTTCGTAACTTGATTACAAATACATTTATTCATTCTTTTTCTATTCTACCAAAAACATATCATCACTATTTGAGTGCTGTGATTAGTAAAAATGTAGAGATTGGTATTACGATGCCGGATAGTTTTATTGGCTTTCCTGGTTCACCTAATCTCATACAAATTGATGATAATGTCACGGTTAGTTGCGATTATTTATTGATGCCAACGGAAATGACACATGAGCAAGAATGTGTAGTTAATAAAATACATTTAACTGAAAATGTTTTCCTCGGTAGTATGGTTACAATACAACAGGGAGCACTAATAGAACCTAATACAACAATTGGTAGTCTCACACGGATAACGGCACTGAATAATATATCAACTATTAATAACAACCATACGTTTTTCTTGGGCATACCAGGAGAAAGTATACCATTGACATCCTTATCAGCTAGAACATCGAACCTACAGTCATTTTCAAAGTTGCCAAATTATAAATATTGGTTTAATATATGGAAGATTAATACAATGTTCTACTTTAAATATATTTGTTCATTACTAGCTCCAATAATCTTGATTTCCATATGTAATAAATCAATCGATTTATCGTCGTATACTACTATAATATGTAATGTTATATGGAATTTATTCTTATTTATATTGTTCATCTTTTATTGTGCCATAACATGTCTGTATGACGAAAAATGTCGTCGTTTTTACCAAGAGAATAACGAATATACGTACAACTTTAAACGATTGCCTCTGATGAACGTATATCACGCTAATGTAATTGATCAATTTCTATCTGGCACACAATGGATTGTTTTTCTGTTACGTTTCATGGGTGCAAAAATCGGAAATAATTTAATTGTTAATGACTTTTTCTCGATAACAGATCCACAGTTAACAGAAATCAATGATGATGTCCGAATTTATTCAAGAGCAATTATTCAGGCAAGTTACTTTTAATAGTTAGTAAAGTAATCTTCATTTGCGTGTTGTTCGCATCGAGGAAAATCAATGAGTTTTGAAAATACGATGCTTTCGTGTAGTTTAGAAGTTTGTATAACACAACTTACTGAACTAAAAATACGTAAAATGTCTGCTTTTCAAACAAAGAAGATGAATAAATATTGATATAGTTTCACTGAGAAATTTCTAAGAACAGACAAAACCAAGGTGAACTCATGATGGCTCAAATAGAAACCAATAATATATGGCATTCGGATAGTTTTTAATTTCGTCTGCGCTATATGAAACTATTTGTCAAAGAACGTTCCGGTCGTAGTTTCGGGTATTGTAAAACAAGTGTTCTTTTTTACACTCTTTCAGGCGAACTTCTCTTGATGTAAAAAGAAAATATAAACTCCCCGTAGACCTATCCCAAGACGCAAATAAAGCATTTAAACAATACGCTAAAAAGTTGTATATTAAGAGGTCCATGTCAGAGAGAGATAGAAAGATGTAGACATACGTGAAAACATGAATCATAAGAGAACAGACTGATTTCTTGGTTTCTCTTATATCAAATGATTTCAGACGATTTCAGGAGCGATCACTTTTAAATGAAAATTGTTGTCAGAGACTGAAATCACCTAAAATCTTTAGGAATCATATGCATCAAATACAGCAATTTAAGTGAACTATGTTTCGTCTCACTCTTTACGGATATCTGCCAGTGTGACCAGATGTTCGGAATGAAAAAAGATTTTTCACAATTTTTCGCAAGAGTTCGTCAAAGAAACTCTTTTTAGATCAATGATGGAAGTTCGTGAATGAGTTTTACTTCTGGAGATTGTTCCGAGTGTTCGTAAATATTGTCGTGCGGGAGATCGTAACAAAAAAGGTAATATTCGTCTAGCAGATTGTTCTAAAGTTTAAAATTGAACGTGTTTTACTGTGTCTGATATAGCTCTGCAGATCTTAACGAACTATTTTACTTCCTCATTGTGATCTCAACGTCCGAATTGCTTTTTCATCCTTAAGGAGTGGTGTTAGATGCTAATCACAAGCTTCCGAGCATATTTCGTCACGACACATTCTGCTTAATAAATTCATTTTTGTGATTCTGACATCCGTGACGAAAATTTTTACTTTTTGTTTGCTGGCAGCTCGCGACAGATATCTGGTATCGGAGCTCATAAGGGCGCAATGGGGCGGAAAGTAGTTTTCCCCACCAATTTCTGACCAAGAATCGGTTTGTTCCTCCTTTTACCTAGGTAATTGTAGGAAATGAAATTTCATGATTTCCATTCCAAAATTCTGTTTACAAATAGATACAACAGTTTTTATAATAACCGTCAAATTTCAGTCAAAATGACCTTTTCTTTGTGGCAATATTTAGGTTTTTGAGACAAGTCGCTTGCCGTATATATATACATATGTCATTGAAAGTTTGGCATATTTTATGGTCTTCTGGACTTGTTCACAGGCGAAGCTTTGAGGTCAACGCTGTTGTTTGATATTTCAATATGCATGCGTATACGAATGGAAAACTCATTGCAAGAGCTGTTACTTCCGAAAAGGAAGACACTAGTAGAAATCTTTCTAAACTCTCTACTATTTCAATATTTTTTGTCATAGAAGTCGTATGAACGAAAAGCATCGGGATTGAGTACATTGGGCAGTTCCTTTATGCGTCAGTAGATTTTTCGGGATTGTAAAAAGTGCTTTCCCAGGTCGACGAATCCCATACTCGGACCCGGTCGGATCCCATATAGAATTCTGTCGGATCTTATCGGAATCCGACAATTCGACGAAATCCGATAGGATTCCTGGCGACGGAATTTCTTCGGATCTCATGTCGGATGCGAAACACGGATTTTATGGATTTTCTAAGGGCCATCATAGAACATAGCTAAAAATAACGCTCATAAAATTTGCAACAAATGACTTAATTTTTCCAGTCGGAATCCGATGCAAACCCGTCACCAGGAATCCTATCGGATTTGTTGACCTGGGTTGTTATCCTCGAGTTTGCTGTTTCGAAGTATTTTTCTTCTTATTTTATTAGGCTCATTCGTATGAAAAACGATATGTTCACTTGTCACACATATCAGTTGGTCCTGGAACAACTCTGATGCCGTATGTATTGGTTCATCGCGGATGTTTATTGGAGGGTGATAATCGACTGTTACCTTTCACAAACTTGATGAAAAATGATCACTTAGTCAAGGGTACCAGTTGGATTGGATCGCCAGCCAAATTAGTTTGAAGCAAAAACTATTTTAAAAGTTGGGTGTGAAAAAATACATACTATATTATATTATATCCTACACTTAAAGATTGACTATTAAAAATATAATGTCCAAAACTTAGTTTCTACTCCTTTGTAGATTTCACATTCGCTCATAAGATAACGTTACGCCCAAACGCACCGGAATCAGAATTGACTGATGAGTTCACTCAGAACGTTTGTTTAAGATCTTTTATTAGATTTTCGCAGCGAGATTTTAACAGTAACAGTATTCTGATGTAAGAAATGTGACAAAATGTCGAGGAAGTTTGGTTAATCTCTCCAAAACCTGTACAAACATTGTTATCTGAAATTTTCCAAAAAAAAGTGTCAAATATTTTATCGCTCAACTATGCTGGAGATCAGTTGTCTTTCAATGCCAATTCAAACAAAAACCAAAGGAGATTTTTTACATTTTTCCGAGATGGTGATGAAATATCTGTCAAGTATTTCTATTATTCATGATCTGCGGAGTATAAGACACCGGTCTAATCATTTGAAATATACAATGATAGTCGATAAACTAATAGACTTGTACTGTTTTAATAGAGAAACATCAAACGATGAATCAGTACTACCAACGAGCAGGATGTTGATCTATATGAGAGTGAGAAAGACGAGATAATCAGTGCAAAACTGGATCGGGATGGAGATGACAGCACCAGTTTTCACTACCACCTTCGCCGCTAAGTATATCCTCACGTTTTGTAATGTGTTTTCAGATAAGTATCTTAATTCATACACTGAGCAATGGATAGCTTACTGATTATATTACTTATTATTCTTTTATTGCTGGGTTGCTTCCTCGCCTTCAATCGATATCGAGACTATCAGTATTTCAAGGAACGTGGTATTCCAACGCCACCGTTTAATTTTTTGTTCGGTCATTTGCTAAAAATGTGGTCAGCAGACTCTTTCGCTCATCAATTACAAAAATGGACTGTTCAGCACGGCAAAATCTATGGAATTTTTGCTGGTTCTTCACCTATTTATATTGTATCTGATGTCGATTTTCTTGAGCAAGTGTTTATCAAACAATTCTCGAATTTTTATAGACATGCAACAGATGTAACAGAACATACTGTAACAAAATCAAAACGTGGTCTTCTAATTGCGAGTGGAAATCAATGGCGAAGACAGAAACAAATTGTCGGGTCGATCATATCCACAGGCATGAAACAGATGAACTCGCTCTTTGATAAGTGCATTAATGATATGCTGGTCACATTAGAAACATCAACAAATACTGATAATGAAGAATTTAACATCTATCCATTGTACAAGGCAACCTTTTGGAATATGGCGTGTAAGTCTTTTCTTATGAGCAAAAAGCATTAAATGGTCTTGTCTGAATTTTTAGGCGGCACATTTGGTATCGATACATCTATGGAGAAAGAAGCGACTGACGAATTATTTGATACATTTGAAAAGTTTTTTACAACGAACGCTAATGATTATACATTATTAAGAGCAGTTGAAATGTTTCCTTCTTTCGACACTATTCTACTTCGATTATTTGAACTGTACAATGGAGTAGGCCAATTCATTTCTCGTATAATATGGCGTATATTTCGCAATATGATGTTCGAAGGATATGCGTTATATAGAGTTAAACAACAATTGTTATCACTATTTGAAAAACGATGGAAAAATTCAAATTATTGGCGAACTGTTCAAACACAAACCACAGATTTTCTTGCCATGATGAGTGTCATGCTAACTTTCGATCCAATTACGGTACAGTACCGTTACATTATCATAGCCGATAGTGAAAGAAAGCGTGCACTTTCAGAATCAGGGAGGATCAAAACGATTATATTCATTCGATGAAATACGAGCACGTTGAGTATAACGGGCTGATCATATTAGAGAAATGTTCACTTATAGGGGATTCATTGTACTGTATATTTTGATCTCATAATCATATTTCCTGGTTGATCTATCATGTTTTAACTATTCGATTGTAGGATGAGAAAGATACTGTCGAGGGAAAATCAGAACAACAACAGCAACAACGTCTGATTGGTCCACATGAAATTGTTGATAACGCTTTTGCTTTTATGGGAGCTCAGTATGTGGGAAATGCTGCTATAATGGCTTGTTCTTCTCACATATTAGCCACCCATCGCGATGTACAGAAAAAACTTCTAGAAGAAATCGATCACTTCTTGCCTCCTATCAACCAGAAACAGATCGACGGTGATGTTGTCGCCAAAATGCCTTATCTCGATATGTTTATTCGGGAAATTTTACGAATGTACCCAATTTCCACGTTAGGTATCGAGCGAAGATGTATGAAAGATACCATAGTTCAAGGTTTACATGTAACTAAAGGTAAGAATAATATAGTTTGTACAAAAACTAATGGTTAGTTTTTTTATTGCTAGGTTCTGTAATTCAAGCTGATGTGTATTCAATTCATTTTGATCCTGATCTATGGGGACCTGAAGATCCAAAAAGTTTCTGTCCAGAACGACATTCTACGACAAGACGACATGCAATGGCTCTATTGTTTTTTGGTGCCGGTCCGAGAATGTGCCCAGGTGTTCGATTGGCTCTCACGACTGCTAAAATGTTACTAGTTCGTCTTCTTCAAAAGTATACAATTGAGTCTTCTCAAAACCAAGAAGCATTATTGGATTTTAAGGAAAAAGTTATTCAATTACCAACGGATGCATGGATCAAGTTAGTTGTGAGAAAATGAACTTTACAAATATCGATTCTGAGCACGTGGTTTTTTTACTAACAGAATTTAAATCTATGCTATTATTCTATACTTGTTCTTCTTGCTTTCTTTATAATACTCTCTTAACTTACTCTTTTTTAAACGTACATATATCCGTACCATTAATTACAGTTAAATACTTTTTTGGTTCTCATATACTCATGACACGAATGTGAGTAATATTGTCTATTACATCTATATCCACACTTACAGTTTACTCGAACTAATTCATATTGTAACGATAATGATATCGTTCATCTCTTTCTGTTCTTTATTCTCTCACCTCTGTATCATACTATCTCCGGGTCATATCTCTCTTTCCTCTTCTCTATATAAGCACGTGTCTTATTGTGAAAGAGATACATTCTGGTCATGTAGAGTAGTCAATAAACATCTATACCGTGAGAAGCGATCAGCTACTCAACCAGTTGGTCATCACACATATCAATCTAAATTTTGCACACTGTTGTGAATCATTACATTTAAATGGCATTCCGCATTTGGTTTTTGAATATATAAGTTTGTTAAAATCAAATAAACTAGACATTCGTCGATGTATAGGTAGTATCGAGTATAGAGCACGTGAAGCATTATGTTCTTCTCGCTTTGGAAATTTTTTGCTTTCTTTTGGGTAAAAAAAATAGAACGATCGAATTTTTAGGACAGAAAAAAAACGGGAAAAACTAATGTGCTACAATCTTTGCTCTGTATTGGGGACTTCTATATGTCTCTAGTTGGGACGCTTAAGGATTTTGAATGCAATTTAGGAGGTTGAGCAGAGATGTAGATTTTCTATTTCCTTATTTTTTTTCAGAAACACGAAAAGACGATTACGCATTTGTTTGTTTTTGAGAAATAGTGCAGAATTGCCTACATTAACTTGTTTTGTTACCCGACGTATAACTATTCTGTACAATCTGTTTGGAAGTGTAAATAGAATTTTCTTTTCACATATATATCAGGCAGTATTCAAGATCGAAATAAAAATCATCACATGCTCAATTATTAAATACGATCAGTAACGGACGATTACTTAGACTTCGAAAGTTAGCTTTTGATGATTCTCATAAACCTAAAAAAATCTCTGGATTCAATCAACAATCGTGACTATATAGAAGCACATCTCATTCATGAGCTATGGATAATCTATCATGATTTCGTTCAACAATTGCACGTAGTTATAACTAACCATCAGTGTGAAGCTAACACGAAGGAACTAGCACGAACAAACGATATGTTATGTAAAAACTTTTTTTATTAAATAAGCCCCCTCCATGAAAACTACATCATTCGACTCAGAATTTACTTCTGCATCGAATGGTGGCACTTTTATTCACGGGACAAATTTTGGAAAATTTTTTACCTATATCTTTGTTCGCTTTCTATAGGTCTATTTATAATCCAAATAGAATTTTTCCAAAGTTTGTCCGATGAATAAAAGTACCATCATTCGATGCAGAATTAAATTCTGAGTCGAATGGCGTAGCTTTCATGGATAGGACATATTTAGCAAAAACGTTTTTAGCTAACATATCGTTTGTTCGTGCTAGCTTCGCACCTACTTTTTCAACATACTTGACATTGGTACTCTTGTTGCCTTTCTGATATGGACAACCAAAAAGCCTCAATGAAATGAAAAGAAAAACCACCGTCGCCATCTATTTCTAATGGAATTAGGTTATGATCTTCCCAGGTCGAACAATCCCATACTCGTATCCCATCGGATCCAATATAGGATTTTATCAGATCCTACAGGAATTCGACGGATCCGAAACATAGATTTCCTGGATTTTCTAAGGGTCATCATAGAACATAGCTAAAAAGATCGCTCATAAAATTTGCAACAACCGGCGGGATTTTTCTAGTCGGATTCCAATGCAATTCCGTTTCCAGGAATCCGATCGGATTTTGTCGGACGGTCGGATCCAGCATCGGATTTGTTGACCTGGGAATTCTTCAATCGCATTTGGACCGACGACGATAGCAACCACATGCACTTCAGCAGAATGTTCGAATAGCCATACAAGCACTTGGACTCACTGTCACTACTTCTCATCCAACTATTGCTTCAACATCTATTGGCAAGCAACGTCGTCATCTTTGTCCAAGAGAACGTGTTCGAAAGATTAATACTCATCGTTCAAGTTGTAATGCTCCTTCTCGTCCAGATCATCATAAGTTAGACTAGTCCTATAAGTGGGCGTATAAGGGTTAACGTTATACGAGAATTAGAACGGACCGAGAGGATCACCATATTAGTCGAGTCTCATTTCCAACTCATTCAACTGTAAACATAAAAATTAAGAAAACATATAGTCTCATTCATACCTTTGAAAAATATGATCGACTTTTATTAAATAAAAATGTCATTAAATATTCATTTATTGATTGATAAAATAGACACTCCATCACCAGTACTACTTCTTGGTCGAACTACACACATCATATTCAAGCATTGTCAACTAATTTCGATAGCTTCTGAATGAGAACATGCTAGTCTATCGTTTGCTCACTCGCGCCCACAGACCGTATTTAGGTCGCAGAGCGATGCGCATCTCAGGTATTATTTTTTGCCCAGATTCTAATTCGAAATGACATTGTTTTAGCAGCATTATTAATATGACTTTTCCTTCAAGCAACGCAAAATTCTTCCCAATACAGTCACGTGGACCAGCAGCAAACGGTAAATAACAAAAAGGATGAGCCAGCTTCGGTTTATAACCTGTGATAGGATTACGCAACCATCGCGAGTAGTCAAACTCTAGTGGTCGCGGCCAAAACTCGGGTCGTCGATGAAGCACATAGGTGTTCACAAAAATAGTTGTATTCACCGGAATTTTTAACTGAAGGCCGCCTTCACTGCCAATAGTATGCTCGTGTATGCAATTTCGCGCAAAAAATGGTGCTGGCGGATAGAGACGTAGAGTTTCTAGCAAAACTGCTTCGCATATAGGTAGACTGTTGATGTGTTCATAGGTGAAATCGACATCATCTGGAAGTATCTGATCGATTTCATCGACACATGCACGTAACACCGTCTCATTAGTCATTAATACGTACATTGCCCAAGATAAAAGATTTGCCGTTGTTTCATGACCAGCGAGTATGAAAGCTAAAGCTTGTTCTCTGATTTCTTCATCGGTAAATGATTGACCCAAGTCATCGACAGTTGACAAAAGCAAGTCGAGAATATCACGTTCCGAACATAAACTTTCCGAACGACCTTGTTTACGATCAGTGATAATTTGTTCGACAAAGCGAGTTATTTCTTGCGCACCTTTGTCTATGATTCGTTTGTGCCAGAACGGCATCTCTGCTAGGAAAGGAATTTGATTGATCATACACATCGTTCTATATTCAATCGCTTCCAGTACGACAGTAAATGTTTGATTTATAACATCTTTGGCATTACTAACGGTTTCAAAATTTTTGCCAAGAGCGCATGAAGCAATGATAGCCAATGTAAGCGCGCTAAATTCTTTCTGCAAATCAACAGATGGATGATTGTGCGAGATAAAAAGTTCTTCAATCATTTTTCTTGTCTGATTGATCATAATAGACACCATCGATTGAAGATTGATGAAATGAAAACCTGGATTCAGCATCTTACGAGCCCTATCGTGCTCTTCTCCTTCATTTACAAGAAGATTATGCATGCCAATTATTGATTTAAATACGGTGCTGGTAAAAGTTGTTTTCTTATAGTCCTGAGCGTGCGATCGACCAAGGACATCGGCAAGTAAATCAGGTTCGTGAACAATCAGACGAGTTAATGGTCCAAAACCCATTAGAAAAACAGGTCCATGTTTTTCGGCAAGTTTCTGGTAATACATCATATACTCGTCATTGGCTCGTGCGCGATTTATTGTAAATAGTTGACCAATTAGGGGCACAAAGGGTTCTCCAGGTACTCCCTGACGACGAAGTATATCGTAACAGAGTTTTTCATGACGTACCAATTTCCAATACACGATCAAAAAAATCGTTAAGATAATGCAAAAAAATATAGATAGAAAGAGTATAAAACTCATATTAGATCGTTTGCACGTGTTGAAAGTAATCTACTAATATAATCAGACGAAATACTAGCTAGTAGTAGGGAGAAAGAGATTATATATTAATAGTTTTTTTTCGTCTACAGAACGACTTCGACTGAAGGAAAGAAAAAAATAAGTCGGCTTCTGCCGATGTCCTTACGTAAATATGTGCATGCAGAATCAATAATCAATGTCGATTGAAATTGCGATTTGTATATACCGAATTGATAGAGAAGAAAATTGCCACATCTATCTATATCTCCAAGAGAGAAGTATGACCATCACTCTAGAACATTTTGTTAACGCTAATGTTTCGGATATGACGTCTCAATTATAAATGTTTAACAGTGATTGCAATACAGTGTATCACAAGCACTATTCATCGTTTATCAGAACGCGAGGGTGTGAGCGGCATCGATGAAATTACATCTATATAATCACGTTCATTCTATAATTTCGCGAAACTTTCCATAATATTTTCTCGAGCCAGAGAAATGCTAACATGCGGCTAGCATCTCTAAAAAAGATTAGGTACGGGTGTTTGGGTGAAATTTCACCTAGATAATCCTGTACTAACTGATTCCAGAGCCTGAAAGCGATTGAAATTGAACTCAGTCTCGACTGGCATATTTGATCGATAAATAGTGTTCACGTATTATTATATTTTCGCATCCATCGGAATGCGCTCGACGGAAGTGAGAGCGATTTAGTAGTAAGAAGCTCACCTCATATAGTATGCGTTGGTCTATCACACTTCATTGTGGATGCGTATCTATTCAGGATAAGTTAAACTTAAATTCAGAATTTAAATCTAATAGAATGGAGAAATAGATGACGGTTTTCAAGAATAAGCATCTCAACATCTCTGTCGGCTTCGGACATCAAGTTTTCTCTGTGATAGGTTATGAGTCAATAGTGGGTAGGTGCCGCTAGTTCGCGATACATAGCGATATAGAATGAATTATTACATCTGGGTTATATTTTAATAGAAGAAAGGGAAAATGAAATGTAAGGGGAAAAGGCTGAAATTTTGTGGGAAACCCAACAAATACAAGCTGTAACACGGTACCATATTATATTATATCATAGGGGCCTGTTCAATACTTTGTACGTCGGTGCACAATTCATCGCTTGGCAATGTTCCAGATTCCTGAAAAAGTCAAAGGAATGATGTAATATGATACCGAAGTAATATTTTAAGTGTCTACTTCTCTCGAATGAAAACAAAATAGAGCTTTCCATGATACTAATAACGATCTGTCAATATGTTCGGACTCGTTGGAGCCTATAAAAGAAATGAATGATAAAGAAATACGAACACTTTGAGAGTCCTACGAAACACAAAGGATGTTAGAACACCAAGACTAAACGTCAAAACAACACCATTGAATGAGTACCACAATGGGGACATCGAATATAATAACAATAATGGATTCGAACTAATTAGTAAAGAAATGTGTAATTATTATTGAAGTAAAGATGTTGCCCTTACCTCGGAACGATTGAAATAGAGGGTTCTGTTTGGTTAAAAGGCGGTAGACATCCTTCCATCGATGTCGGTAATCGCCCATTACGTCCTGAATGTTTCTTCATCGTGAGATTAGCTCCAAGCAGTATCCAGATTTGAAATGCGAAGCAAAGATAAAACGCTACTAGGACGCTCTACGTTAAAATTACAATTAAGGATGATATCCATGAGAGCTGATACATTTACTAACTCGACTATTCACTCGGGATACAAAAAGACCTAAAAGAAAGATTCCAAGAATAGGAGCCACAAATGCACCAGCAATTTGGAAGACAATCTATAGATAAAATGTATGAAGCAACAATTAATCAGTAAGATCTATGTTATAGGTACCACAATAATGTTATCTTTTAGAAAAGATGCAGCAAAAGCCAAGGATACTGTGATGATACCAATAACGAATGCTTTAAAAAATCAATCAAAATCAAACTAATAATTGGATGTATACGTGGCACCAGAAATGATTAATTTTGGCATTCGCCGTATTTTTACTTACATAGAATTTTTGAAAACTTTGCCTGTTGTGCGTCAGAAAATGGTTGCGCAGTTGATGTTCGCTTGTATATATCTTCAAGAATTACCACAGCGGCACTATTCACTCCGCTCGACACCGTACTCAATGATGCACTCAAGATGCATGCGATGAACAAACCAGTGACGCCAGGAAATCGCCCGAGTGTTTCAATGACAAATAAAGGATAGAGCTATGGAGAACCAATAAGAGAAACAGTTAATTATATGACTATCTTCTAACTTGATCTGGTTTTGAGATACGTTTAGCTTTCAGAGGATCACAATCCTTATATTTGACATAGAGAAGACATCCAACAATTCCACATAGAACAATTATCAAAACACTTAGAGTATAATTGATCCAAGCGGCTCTAGAATTTATGGTAAAAGCATTTATCAAGAGCAAAGTTTCAAAGAAGAAGTACCGTTGGGCAGTCTTAGTATTTTTAACGCACATATACCGCTGTCCTTGAGTTTGAACGCATGAGAATATTGCAATACCATAGAAACTACCAGCAAGCCAGAGACTCCATAACGTATATCGGATCGATGGATCAAATGTAAATCTAAATCCTCACATATAAGTCGTTTTACATATGTCATGACTAATCTACGGAAAATTCTGAGAACGATGATGAAAGTGTCGAATGTATAACTGGGAAAATAGTAGGAAAACTATTCACAATCATATCCTCACTTTTCCATAGGTTTATCATAACTTACATCCAAAATTGTGATCGATCGCTACCGATAATCGTATGGAACACTTTCGCAGGGCCTCCCGCATCGATGAATCCTTAAATATAGTTTTGAAAATAAAATGAAATGACCAAATAAATAATATACCGAAGATAATCGATAGAATAATGCCAAGAAACATCATAATGGTCTGTGTTACATCAGTCCAAATAACCGCTTTCATTCCACCCTGAAGAACTCTAATCATTATCAAATAATTTCGATATTTCAGTGAACTCACAATACTCGTATAAAATGTACAAATTATTCCACATGATCCAATGGCCAACCAAATATTGAGACCGGTGACTTGACTTAATGCCAAACTAGGTCCGTAGAGAATAACAGCCATATATAATATCTAAATCGATGAAAGTTTATAATTGAAGAAGTTTGTTTGCATTGTCCTATCGCTTACATAGTTGATAACGAAAGTAACTGTAACTGTAATACGCACTGCCGATGAAAAACGTTGCTCGAGATACTAAGCATCAATGCACACATAAGAATCAATAAATAATTTCGTATTCAAAACTTACTGCATAGATGGTAATACTGCCAATATGACGAAACATAGGTATGAAGACTTTCACTGCAACATATGTACCGATGAACCAGGCGAATACTATTTAAATAACGAAAACCGTAGAGAAAAGACGATGATCAAGTTTTTACTCACAAATATGTATATATACGATTCCAAATGCATACACTTCTATTGGAGCCCCAAGAATCGTTGCTGCTGACAAGTTCGATGCCAACAAACTCATAGATGTTGGTAAGACCTATCAAAAAACTTAGTTTCTTAGTTTAAAAGCAGCAAAATCAAATACTATAATACCTTCATTCGACCATTAGCAGCAAAAAATTCATTGGTCGTTGTTTGCTTTGATTTAATACAGCCGTGATAAATACCAATGATGGCTGATATGCCTACAAATATTAAATGAGCTACATTACATATTTGATGGATTTTTAATTTCTTGCATAGAAGAACAACGAGAACAGCATAATCAGTCCAGCCGAGATACATCTAGAAGAAGATACTGAGCAGTTAAATTCGTCAGATTAGACCAGGCCGATATCATACATGTAAAAGTCGAAGAGACTATTCGAGTATTAAACTTTCAATTCAAGTTTTCAACTATCCAACTTCTAAATTTAGAATTCGAAGCTTCGAGTTTTGAACTCTTATCTAATTGGCTATTAGATATCCACTAACTAAATGCTAATTATTAAAAGATTAACTATCTTATTATCATTTATTAACTATCTGATCATCTTGAGGGTGTGGGTGTGAGAATGCGGGTGGGTGTGGGTGAGGGTGTGAGTATTGGCGAGGGTGCAGCTGGCAACGGCATAGTCAGGATCAATGTCAACGGGATTCGTTACCGTTAGTTGACTGATAATTCATAGGCATATAGTGAATAAATGATTAAGTACTATTTAATAGTCAGGTGCCGATTACGCGATAGTCTGTTGATTTACAGTAAGTAATCGGTTGGTTAATATTTAAATAACAGTTACATAATAGTTAATAATCAGTCACTCAATGATTTACGATCAATCACTTACGAGTTGGTAAGCGGAAAACTCGAAACTTCGAATTCTAAATTTAGAAGTTGAATAGTTTAAAACTCGAGTACTCGAATCCAATTAACGATTTCTATACTACTCGGCGATGTCTAAAATCTTATTTCCTCTATCGCACTACAAACATCGATGAATAAGAGAAGTTTTCAGCATTCTATTTAAAAAAGAATTCTTCGCACAATGTCTATATCTAAGGAAATCGAACTAAGATCATCTAAAACGATTTAGTTGGCACAAGAAAACGTAGCAAAACCATTCCTTATAAAAGTAACCAAATTGGAAAAAACCAATTTTACTTGCTTATGGAAATATCGGAATTAACCATACAGACATTGATGCTTCAAAGATGCACATGTAATGGAATTCTCCACGAAAGTTTTCAATACTTCGTTTCCTCTGGGAAAATTCCAGTCTCTCTATATTACTTGGAAATTTCCAATTCCCTGTAATTTTTACATATCTATAGTGCTAGATAATTAAACTGCACAACAAGACACTCCGGTTACGTATTTAGTTCAGCTTTTGAATGAATTGACGCTTTGAATTTCGCCGAAATATATGAAACACATTGATTTCGTGCAAAATCGAATTTTCCATGAACTCGTTGATGCAGTTATAGTTGTGGACACCTACCGTTTCTAGTTTTCTGTTTGTTCTATAGGGAAGAAAGAGAACAGAAACAGAAAAGTTCTAGGAAGAAAAGGAAAGAAAACAGAAAAGTTCTAGGAAGAAAAGGAAAGAAAACAGAAAAAAATGACTATTCCTTTTCCTTCAAGGTGAGTACTTTAATGTAAGAAGAGAAAAGAAGAAAGAAAGAAATATTTCGTCATTAAATATGTGCACTAAGCCTATTTCCTTCCATTCTCTCGCTTTTATACGTTTCTCATGGTATACGAATCTTCCATTTTCGAAGAATAACAAAAAAAGCAAACCTAGCTTACTGCTGTCGTCGACTACAGTTTCACTTAAAGTATGTTGGAAAAAAATGACGTCATTCGAACAACAAATAATAGTATTACTGTGGACATCGATGCGAATTCTGTCCTTCACAGCGATGTAGATATTAATAGTAATGAATACTTTTGTACTAGATTGCAAACGAACCTAACCGGCCGGAACCGGCCGTGCCATAATAACCTGGGTATATGCACTCATCCAGCCAAAACCTAGAAAACTGTGAACTGACTTAATTTAACGCAACCCATGTGCTATGAATCACATGAAAACCGCCGGTTAGCCGCCGGAAAACCAGTCGTAGAAATGAAGAGTATACCGCTCGATAACCACCAGTCTACCGCGGGTTTTGCCGGTTTCTCGCAGTTAACCGACGATTTTTTTTCTAATGAACCGTTTGTAAAATGTCATTCTGTTCATTGATACACTTTCATTTACGTCGTAGTTTCACTGCATTTTATTCTTAATTTCAATTACACAAAAGAGAATACATGTTCGCAGACGACTTGTACAATAAAACGTTCAAACAATAGGTTCACACATTCAAGAAAATATACACAACGAAAAATACGATTTTCTGGTTTTTCTGACTGTTGCTGTTTTCGAAAAAACAATCGAAATAAAACGACGATCGACTCACACGAAAAATCCGAAAGTTATTCGCTGGTTACACCGCCTGCAGTTTTCGACCTCTTGTCTTTCTTCCAGTTCCGTCGTTTGTTCAGTATGGCTTCGTGGATATTGGGCCATTCAATTTCCATTTTCCGCGTCGAAAGCCGAAATTTAACTCTCACAGCCTCTAAATGAAAATATGTTTTCTTTTCACCACTTGGTATTCCATGAATTATGTTGCCTGAAGTCAAATATCTGCCTTAGAAGATCTTCATGATATGTGTCTCAAAACTTCTGCAGATTTATGAATGGAAAGAGAGACCTCAAGAATTCTTATCAATTTGTATAAACAAACAATTGTTTTCCCGTGATACGTAACGATGGTTGCAAACAAAAGACATACCTCTAATAAATAGGTAACTTGAATGTGATAGTAGTTCATTTTTCTTTGTCAAAGGATCAAATTCAATTAACTCTTCTTCGGAAAACAATTCGTCGACCAGCTTCAATGCGTACAGATTCTTTTTCGTCGGACCCCTGCAATATTCAAAGCATCGAAAGTTGCAATACCGCCATCAGTTGAATATATCTAAGTTATACAAAATAGTTAGATGAGAAGATTATTGAAAATTGTCTTACTAATTCAGTAGGATAGGAATTTCCATCCGGATCTGTTCGAGAATTTTCGGCCGAATCGATTTCTTCATGGATATCAACATAAATCTAGAATAAAAAGGGTTACTGTAATCAATGGCAACCACTTTTGTATTCTTACTTTCCTTTTCAGCAAAGCTTTCTTTAATCTTTTTTGGTTTTCTAAAATAAGCTTCTGTGTGGCTTCATGCCGTTGATGATGCAACAATAATTGTTCAAACATTTGCCGATTGTACCGACCATCAATTTCTGCTTGTTTCAACTTCGCCATAACGTCTTTTCGAAATGAAGGCAATGATTCATCATCAGATTTCTCGTCATCATCCGTGTCGAGATCAACATTTTCTTTTACATTGTTCCTGGATCGCTTTGTTGAGGTTGAAATCTTCTAAAATGATAAAAGTCATATTATTTCATGATGAATTAACGCATGATACTCGTACACAGCTCGTATCGCATTGATTTTCTTTATTGTACGAAAGGACTACACGAGCTATCTTTATCAAGGTCCAAAGCGTAAACGCGAACTATCTCTCTTATTTACTGTTGATTGTTTTACTATGTCTGTGTCGATATTCTTCTCGTTTTTTATGCCTGCAAGGTATACCTGAAGTCTGATAATTATTATGGTCTATTCGCGCCTTTTAAATGAAACGAAACTTCTCTCGTGGACTAGAATTTCTTACGGCTAATGATGAATTTTCCTTTCCAAATTGTACGCACATTTCTTAGTTTTTACACAAATTGTGGACACTTATCTAGATCGTTTGTAATTAAGGTTGTTGTTCAACTTACCGATGAAGACTCTTTGAATGCTCGTTTGACACTTGGACTCGATACTGATGACGGCAACCGTACAGGCACTTCTTCATATTCATCTGATTCATCAGCCTTATTGTCAGTGACAATAATATCTGGTTGTTGAGTATCAGGCACGTGTTTGTCCAATAAATCATTCAATTGATCGACTAAAACAAGGCAAATATCATCAGATAACAGAATGGAATGCAGAATTTAAATGTCTTGCCGAAATCGGCAAAAACGAAGTTAGATTATGTTACCTGACGCATTCGACGACAAATCTACTTGTTTTTTCCCGTGTCCATGTCTTGGCTGAACATCGTGACGACCTTTAAAACATTGCATAAGCGCTGTGCATTGGATTAGAATTATTACCTTCGGTCGAACTCGATTGTTGAGATTGAAAAGTTGTTGTCGATGAATCTGAATATAAAACAACGCATGTAATCAGATTAAACAGATTAGAGAATATTCAAAATACTGTCGACTGTTATTGAAGATCGTTTAGAAATCGATGGTGATAACGGTTGTGTGGAAGTGAGAAGGCACGGAAACACGCGACTGGCCATATTCGTCTTGGAAAAAACTCTGGTTTTTGTAGTATTAGTTGATGATGAATCCATTGTGATGCAAATCTGAAAAAAATCGAACGGATTATATCGAATTTTCATTTAAAATGATTAATCATGTTCGGAATCGTTTCGAATTTCAGTTAAACAATGAAAGTTTTTGACTGCAACTGAAATACATTTATGTCTTATTCGAGACATCGGAATTATTTCAAAAAAGGCAGTCCTTGTTTGCATGGAGTATAAACGATCAAGTGGATCGGTAATTTTGCAAGCGTCGCGATCACAGATCTTGAGAAATGAAGATAAACGATCCGATACTGGTGCTTCGTGATATCTATTGACTAATACATAATACTTATTATTGATCATAATAAATACAATACAATCACCATAATTAATGCGATCTCCAGTATCATCTTTGTATGAAATAATGTGACTAACGCACTTGAACGGCTTGTCATATAATGTGGAATGAAATTATGTAAATGGTCGCTTGAATCGTTTGTAAATTTTCACCGATAATGTTCCTGAAAATTTGATTATTGTTGAACGAAATCGATCGAGTGAAGGATTTTGAAGTGTAATTTCATCAATACCGCATGGTTCTTCGACCATAGTCACTGGTTGATCAACTATTGAAGTCATATCAGTCCAATAAGCAATTTGAGAAGCTAAATTACGAACACCATGAGCTTTGCTTTTTGTATAACGAATACACGATTCGAATGCGAATGCCGATGTATATGATAAGCCTCCATGGTGTCGAACTTGATCTGCCAAATGAAGATGTGCATGTAAACTGTACAATTCGATTGTCGAGTCATAAACGAGCGACGAGGATTGACAGTAAAAATTGAGTAATCTGTCAGCTAAGTCAATTTCCGACTTGTCTTCAGGTGCATGAAGGAGTTTGATTGCCAATGCGTAAACAGCAAAATGAAAGAGGTACGAAACAGGTAAAATATCGAATAGAATCGGGAGTCCAACATGTAAAACAAATAAGCGACCATGTTTGGCTTTCCAGTGAGTTGCTTCTTTGATAGAAAAGTCATATCGAACCTTTACGTTGTGCGGCAAGTGTTGAATCGATAGTCGATGGTCAACTGTTTTGTCATCAAATGCTTGTCCGAGTAATTGCCAACGTTTAATAAGCATTTTGATGTGGTTCAAGCACACCAGATGCATGTAGTCATATAGAACGCATTTTGGGGTACCGGAGAATTGAAAGTAAAGGTGAAAATCCACGTACACCGTTAATTATCACTTCCCGTGCTGCCGCTTCATTTCTAATAGCTGCTAATTGAGCATCATGTAAGAATTCATCATGGGTACGCAAATGGTTTCCGTTTCGATTATACGGGTATAGCATCACACGAGAGTTTAAGTTGTATTCACCTAAGAGAAGATTACATAATACAAATAATACATAGAGAAGTTTCGGTCAAAAGAAAAGTTTCCATCAAACCTCAATTTTAATTATTAACTTACCGCGTGCATAGCACCACGTGCAGGCATAATTCCCGTTGAAATTAATTGTCTTCAGGAACAGCGATTTCGCCGGCAAATCAGCAATGAAGCCTTGAATATTTATAACGAAATGATATTCTTGATCGTTAATGACGATAGTTGTACCATGTTCCATTAATGTTTTTAGTTGAGAGAGAACAACATTGAGAAACGTATCGACATCGGGCTTTTTCCGGCTCGACCATAGAGCAAGGACAAGAATGTTGCGTTGATATTCTCGATAAGGTGGAGGAATTTCGACGATGTTGGCAAGCAAGGGCCAAAGACTTTGTTGAGAGCTGCGAACCAGTGGCGCGCCATCCGCGTGAACAATAAGGGTTAATTCCTGCTTCTGAAAGAGAAAAAAACTTTATCTCTCAGAAAATCAATATTCAAAAATTGAATAAAAAAAACCCTATTTAATCGAATGTGTAAAATAAATGCTTAATAATGATTTTTCACTTACTTTGTTATGTTTGTTATGGTTCGAATAGAAATCTGAGTGTACTATATCACCAACAGGAAACAGGCTTGGGTCAGTCGAAAATAAGTTGAAATTTTGTTTTACGACAGAGTGAATGGCTGATCGAATATCCATGGTAACAATTTCGGTAAATCGATTATTCACCAGGTTTTGATTAAAATAAGGGCAATTGGAATTGAAACATCGCTTGACGCTACCACTACCTTCACCAATATCATTTCCGCACTTTTCACAAACATATTTCGAAGTGAAAGCACTTGTCCGGCCAAATAATTTCAAAACAGAGTGATGCGATGTTGGTAAAGTATTGGGGTGTGGCAGTAACGATTTCACTAATTTCAGTAGCTTCATCGTATGACTTTTGTCCAGGTTTACAGACATTGCGAATTTCATGATTGCCATCGTTGCAAAACGAACAGTAATAGATGCGTTAGTAAACAAAGAAGGAGAATCGTCATTATCAATTCGATCGTCATCATCGAATTCATAACCATTTGTCGGAATATTCGGTGCATCAGCCTGATGCGATATGAGCGGATCAGTTGTATTTACAACAGCAACTGGTAACACCGGTTCGATTGCATCATCATCTGATCCTTCAGAGTTCGATGAAACAACAGTTGAAAGACATTCGGAGTAGCTGCCTAATTCGACTTATAATATAAGTGACCAATTCCTAGAACCCTTAGGAATAGAAATCGATTTAGTTTCAGTTATACATACACACCCTCACACCCACGGCGGCACCCTCAATCGAGATAGATATAAGTGAGGGTGTGGGTGTGTAAATGTATGGTGCTCCTACTTTTCGTCTCTTACATTTCATCCCCTTGCATTTCGTTCGCATACAGTACGTCTCACTTACTTTTCGTCCGATTTTGCTCGGTCTTTTTACAAGTCGTCTCAAATACAACTCGTCTTAATAGTATATCGTCTTTTTACATCTTGTCCGTTTACAATTAGTCCTAATTTTATGTCGTCCTTTTACACATTCTCTCGATTTTGTTTCAATCTTTTTTTTAATAAGAACAGAATTAAAATTTATTTTAGAAAATTCAAGTTTTGAGCTTCAAATTCACTGCGATTCGATATAAATAATCTTCAATATTATTGACATTGTAAGACATAGCAATCCTTTTCAATCGAGCATCAAGATCAGCATAAACTTTCTTCTTTTTCCTCGGTTGTTCACCTGTACGAAGGCGTTCAATGTCAATCTCAAATCGGGACTGTTCACGTATAATACATTTGGCAAGCTTGGTGATGGAAGGATGTTTGATCGATACCCGATTGTTGAAGGCATTATGCCATCCCTCTAATGCATTATTAGACCTTGGCAAGTCTCTGATAACTCGGTCATAAGTATTCCATAAACGTAAATCGAATTTCGGTCTGCTACGCTGACTACCTAAACAAATGTTGCATATTATTAAATACAACAAATAAATACAATTTTACAATCACAAACCTCTTCCTATTTTTTGTCCTACCCAGACTTTCTCGAAATAATCCAGTAAGGCGTAATCCTCTTCATCGAAAGCATCAACAATTGTTGAATAACCCTTTGTGACATCCGATACAGGTAAAAACGCAAGAGCCATTAGCTTTTTCACGTTAATTCTAAAGGTATCATTAGTAATGTACTTGTTGCGAAGACCCAATGATTGGATTTCTCGCCATAAACATTGTCCAAAATGAAACAAGCATCCTATTTTTATAGCAAGAGTAAATTTTAATAGACCAAGAATTTGTATTAGTACTTGCCTATTTGGGCAGCTTGTGGAAACAATGATTTAGAGGATTTCAGTGTGGCGCTTTCAAAATCAATTAGAATAGATTCAGGTTGATAGTCATGGTGCAATAATAATTGTTCGAAAAGTCTGTCATAGTCTTTGGTGTTTTTTCCAATTAGTAAGGCATAGACAAGAGGAATAAGTTGAAGTGAATACATCCCGTGCACAGTAAATAACTGGTAAAAGCTTTTCGGACAAATCTAAATAAGTTGACGTTATTCAAGAAAAAGCCGACAAGGTACACATACGCTAAACGTTCCATCCATAAACCAATGAGGACATTCCTTTAAAACGGATAGATTTTTGTCACATGTGAATATAACCATAGAATCATCTTCATACAAGACAAAGTTTTCACCTCGATCAGTTTGGCGGAATGCAAGAGGCAAATGGCCATTTTCGTCGAGTTGTATTGTTGGTCGTTCGCGTCGAATTGTTTGCATCAATGCATTATTCGTAGGCAAATCTGCAACTACATTCAATGGAATCGTTCGTAGCGCCTCAAATAATATTGTACTCGTTGCTTCATCCGATGATGCACCACGAGTTTTCAGTTCATTTTTAAGGCGAATGACATGAACTTGGTCTGGATCAGGTGCGTGTGTATGTTCAGACGGTTCTTTCAGAAACGAGTCCATTTGAACATTTGTATGGCAACGACCAAAACAAGAATACAAGGTATGTAAAAATTACATTTTATGGTCACTTCTTACTTCTACAATTGCGATTTTCGCATCGAAATATACGTTTCTTTTCTGTTAACTGACACTGCGTATAAAAAAAACCAGCAAAATAGACTTTCGGATGCCCTCGAGAACTTTGGAACACTTCAATTGTATTCATTTTTCGGCTGCGGCGTAATTTTGTCGAGCTGTGTCAAGACTGAAAGCAAACGGCAAGGAAGACGTTTATTCGAGAAAAGATCGAAGCTTATATATCTAGTTGCATCGGTCGTAGAGTGTACAAGGTCATTGTATACGAGCCTGGACAGAATATCAGTATCACTTGATACTGATATTCGCGTCCAGGGGTGAACTATATGACCTGATCTAGGGATCGGATTATAACAGGCTGGTACGAAATAATAGTGTAAGTGAGCAAACAGCAAAGACATGTCTGTTTACATATGGAGAGGACAGAAAATACATATTTTCTTCTTCATTAATTTTTTTGAGACAGCGATGATTTACCGCATACAACCAGATTTCTTTATATATACACAGCACTTTATTTCATATGGAAAGAGATTAATTTTAGCGAAACTCGAATAAAATATAGAAAATAAAATAAAATTGAGACAATGTGTAAGAGAACGACATAAAATAAAGACTAGTTGTAAACGGACAAGATGTAAAGAGACGACATATTATTAAGACGAATTGTATTTGAGACGAACTGTAAAAAGACCGAGCAAAATCGGACGAAAAGTAGTTAGGACCAATCGTGGCGGACGAAATGTAAGAGACGAATTGTCATCCGCCAAAATGAGCGGTCACCTAAATGTATAACTGAAACTAAATCGATTTCTATTCCTAAACTCACAGGGGTGTGGGTGTGTATATGTATCAGTCAAACTAAATCTATTTCTATTCCTATCTACGCAATTGTTATAAGTGTGATATAGATATTGTAACGATAATGATATCGTTCATCTCTTTCTGTTCTTTATTCCCTCACCTCTATATCATATTATCTCCGGGTCATCTCTCTCTTCTCTATATAAGCGTGTGACTTATTGTGAAGTAGACACATTCTGGTCATGTAGAGTAGTCAATAAACATCTATGCCGTGAGAAGCGGTCAGCTACTCAACCAGTTTGTCATTATAGATATCTATTTATATTCGAGTTGATACTAGCCTGTAGGGGATCGACTTATAATATAAGTCGAATTAGGCATCTCATGCTATTTTGTAACCAATTGACGCGGTATACTCTCCTCCAATTTGGACATACGGAGAAGAGAAGTGAAATTATTAGTAAAATGAATGTAATTATTAAAACACATATACAAGACTAAAAGTATTATGTTCGCTATCGACAGAACATGTCGATTTCTAGTCGTGATGTTCATTCTGATCGAAAATATTCTACTTATAAAGCGTCAAGTAAAGCAATAACTATTTCGACTAACCAAACATTCAGCGGTCATTTTCATACGTTTGACAATGTATATTTGTGATCTTGAACTGTTGAGAGTTTCAATTCGAACAGATTTTCCCTCTCTTCACATTTGAAATATAGAAAAAATGTGCTCATTATTTATTTTCTTATAAAAATCGAATAAATGGTGGAGCATGTAAATTTGAATCTGCTGTACTATAAACAGCTGCTTGTTTAAAAAGACAAGGCGTTTCTCTCCACAAATATCGAACAACATGAATTGATTTCGATTGACATATTGTTGGTATAAGAAGTTTAACAGTAATCGGCGAAAATGGATCATAAATAGGTGTTACTGATAACCAATTGGTTTCATTTAACATACATATTTGTTGATCTTCACAACATATCTAAATCAAAGATTTCTTTTTCATTGAAAATTTCAAGAAGACATTTACTTCAAATCCCTTCGAATTTCGTAGTTCAATTGATGATGAAAATGTACTTAAATATGTAACATTCATTCGATCGAGACTATCTCGTACAACTTCATTTGGAATTGGTCCTTGATAAGCGACATTTGTTTGTTTATAAACCATAGCAAGACCAGACCGAGAAAGACGATAACCAACATCAAGTTTTGTTCGAGGATGAACACTTTTTGTGATAAAAGAAAATCTCGTCATATTCAGATTATTTTTCATCTCACCCTCCTCGATCATCACGTAAATCGATTGTTGTTGCCATAAATACATTTTCAGTTGCATTATTTGGTGTAAAACCAAAATCAAATGTTTNAATAAATCTATTCATATAAAACAAACAAAAGATGTTGTATATGAAATTTCAACTACACGTCAAAAGCTACTTTGACGCAAATATCTCAGTCATTGAATTGAACTAGAAGATAGATACATCTGTGTCTTCGTCGTCTAAAATCAAATGTATAGCGTTATGCTAGTGATATTTTCCTATCTGAAAATCTAGAGACGATGTAGGGACAAGTTGCTTGATAGAAGCCAAATTGTACACATTTCTTCTTACATGTGAGACATTCTCGATCATTTTCGTTTAAGTGGAATAAAAGATTTCATTCTAGGAACGATTAAATTTGTGCCAAACTATGTCAGAAATGATAACATATGCTTATCTTTTGTTCATATTTGAATAAGTGCTTGTAGGAAATGAAACATATCTTAAATCAATCTGAAAAAAAAGAATAACAAAAGTCGTCAATAAGTTTAATGAAAGTGTTTTGATTAACTTTTCTTTTGTAACGTTTTTTTTATTTACAATTAAACAAACATTTAACAAAGGATTGTTTCGACGTATTACAGTCAATTTAGTTTTTGTAACAATTCTTTGGCTGGCTTCTTTCGTACAAATAGGCGTTCAAGAGTTGGATTTGTATGAATGCATGATGTGACTTTGACATCGCCTACAATTGAACCCGAATATTTGTACCATTTTGTCCAGCATTTGTAAAATGCTGGTTGAAGATTGCGTGTTGGACCACTTTCGAAGATAAATTTTAGATACATCAGTTTAGTATTCCATGGTTTCACTACGAGAGCGCCAGGTACTTGATCATAATTTTGCATCATTGATTGCAATTGTTTCTCGCGTCGTGAAAGCTGATGAAGTAATCGATGATGTAATTGAGAATAGGTTTTTTTGATTCGATTGTATGACAACCTTTTGAGCATTATTTATATCAAAAAATCGTTGGAAATGTTCTGCAATAAAATCAAAAGGATAATCATTTAACAATAATGATACATCAATTCGGATCCGTTCCATGTCGAATTCTCGTATATTGGAACATAATCGAGCAGCTCGTAGTAATGCAGCATATGGAATATTTCGGTGAATATGATGGGGATGATCCGATGTATACGGCAAGATGTATGGTTCAGCAGATGATTTATGAAAGATGGAAGTTTTGAGATGACCAAGATTGTTTTCGATGGCAACATCAAGACAATCATTGGCTGAATCGATCTTGTAGCTGATACTAATATTCGGATCTTTGTGTTGCATTTTCTCTAATAGATTGGTTATTTCTTCGATAGATAAATTAGTAGTCATGAAAATGTCATCAATATATCTGAAGAGGAGAAGAAGAAAAAAAAGAACTTTGATTGGGACTCTAAGAATCTTCCTGATACATGACATACATTTCATGACGAACATGTAGATGTTGGCTAAAACTTGAGTAAAAGTCGAACCCATAACTCCTCCACGAATTTGCTTATAGTAATTATTCTGATAGACAAAATAATTTTTATCCAAGATGAGACGAGCCATTCGCATTAGATGATCGATGGAAAAAATTTCCTATATGGCCATGTTTGGAATATTTTTCCACGAAACTAGCTAATGCTTGTAATGCACCTATACGTGGTATCATAGTATACAGATCTTTAACATCAGCTGTAATAAAATTGGTCGTTGTCATCAGATGACCATCGATAGCGTACTTTTCCAGTTTACGAACTAGATCAATACTGTTCGTGAATGTTGTTTCTCGAGTTACTTTCAAAAACAATGGAGCTAAAAGGTCATTGAGAAACTTGGAAATATTCGTTGTTGGTGCATTGATTGAGGCAACAATGGGTCTCAATGGAGTGCCAGGCTAGTATGTTTTAAAAAAAGCTTTGATAGACTCAATAGAACTCGAAAAGAAATGTATATCAGATACTTTTATGAGGCTTTGATATAAAATGAAGATGAGCCTATTCTAGGTTGTTCATTTTGGGAAGAAGTTTACTGCATAACTTTTTATCGATAACTTTTTATTGTAATAATGCTCCCAATAACGTTTGTACTGCAGTTAGACGAGTACG